CTAGAAGATGGAATAAGCTTCTGTGTTCATGGATTAGGAGAATGGCTATTGTTAAAATGTCTATACTATTGAAAGTCATCTACAGGCTCATGACAATCCCCATTAAAATACCAGTGACATTCTTTGCAGAACCAGAAAAAGCAATCCAAAACTTCGTATGGAAACATAAAAGACCTCAAGTAACCAAAGCAATCTTGAGCAAAAAGAACAATGCTGCAGGCATCATAATACCTGATTTCAAAATATACTATAGAGCTAGTTTAAAAAAAAAAACTCTGATATTGGCATTAAAAAAAAGCATTTAGACCAATGGGATAGAATAGAGGATCCAGAAATAAACCCACTCATCTCCAGCCAAGTGATTCTTAACAAAGTCGCCAAAAACACTTTGGAAAAAAGACAGCCTTGTCAAAGCATGGTGCTGGAAAAACTGGATATTCACATGTAGAAGATTGAAACTAGACCCCCATCTCTCACCCTGCACCAAAATCAGCTTAAAATGTATCAAAGACCTTAATGTCAAGCATAAAACTTTGAAAGTTGTAGAAGAAAACATCAGGGAAACACTTCAAGAGATTGGCACAGGCAGTGATTTCTTGAATAGGCCTTCAAGAGCCCAGGAAACAGAAGCAAGAATTGACAAATGGGATTACATAAAATTAAACTGCTTCTGCACAGCAAAGAAAATGATAAAGGAAAGGGCCAAACTACAGAATAGGAGGAAATCTTTACATTTTGTTTTCATTTTAGAGATGATTAGTATTCATATGTAAATAACACAAAAAGCTTAACAAAAAAAATAACAAGCAATACAATCAAAAAAAAGGGCAAATGATCTACACAGACAGTCCTCAAAAGAAATACAAATGGCCAATAAACATATGAAAAAAATGCTTAATATCTTTAGCCATCAGGAAAATGCCAAATCAAAACTACACTGAGATTCCATTTCACTCCAGTCAGAATGGCTAATGTGAAAAAACAAATAAATAAAACCAACAAAAAAATGAAAAATAACAAATTCTGGCTAGAATATGGAAAAAAGGAATACTTCTACGTTATTGTGGGGGTGTAAATTAATATAGCCACTATGGAAAACAGCATGGAGGTTTCTCAAAAAACTAAAATTAATTCGTTTGAATCAAATGTATGAAATATGATATGTCAAGAGCTTTGTAATGTTTTGAACAACTAATAAAAAAAATAAAATAAAATAAAAAAGAAATACCCTATAATGCAGCTATACCACTCCTGGATATTTATTCAAAGAAATGAAGTTAGCATACAAAAGGGAAATCTGCATGTCCATGTTTATTGTGCCACTATTCACAGTATCCTAGATATGGAATCAATCTAGAAGTCTATCAGTAGATGAATGGATAAAGGAAATATGACATATATGTACA